GTAAGATGGAGGAATTAGCGTGTTTCACGGTCCTGTATCTCCATTCCTGGGCATGTTTGGGCGGGGGGACCACGACACATCGACAGCTGGGGGGCTGATAGTCTCATACACCCTCAATGTGTTTGAGCGTACCATGTGTCTTTAAGGCGAAGCCAGCCATGACTTGCCACCAGAAATAGTTGATTGAGCTTTCGCATATAGACGACAAGGTGCCGAGTAACTCGATAGTGAAGAAAAAAGCAGGAAAAAAGAGGGCAGTTGTCCTAGATAGAGCCCCATTCCGATTCCAGTTTGTACGCTTCCAATTGACTCCATCTCCAACACTACGCCCCCACAGCTGATTCCCCGATAAGAACTCTACGACCGTACAAGTGACGATTTTCATGCTTTTTCGTCCTGCAGCTTCGTTTTTCACTGAAAGGCGGGCCTTGAAGGCGGAGTCTGGAGGCGGAGTCACTGGAAAAAGGAGGCGTCACTGAACCTATATTGCGCTATAGCGCCCCTCCCTTACAATTTTTTGCCGCGAAACCGGTACAAGGTTGTTCGTCGCGGACCACACTACCCTCCCGACGCCATATTTCCAACTTCTATACCTGATCGCGGACCGTGCCTTTAACGCCAAACGTCCGGCTGCGGCGTCGTAGACAATGCCGTCGCGGCTCTGCTATAGTGCGAAAGCCGGCCGAAGCAATTGAATATAGTGATCTAAGGCGGTACCTTTTTGCGGAGAACAAATACGATCTGTTGTTCAGGTGGAACAGCCCTGGGCACATAAATGTGGCCGGTCTACCTTCAAGGATTAACTCCAGTAAAAATCTTGCCCTAATTTCGCAAAGTGGCACAAGTTGCACCATAAAGGGCAAGAAGGGACGGAACTATAGTCCAATACTGAGTTTGTCGAGAAAATGACGCACATCGGAAACTAACAGTGCGCCGCCGCACGACCAGCCGCGCGCGGCGACGTGAAGGATTGCCTGTTTGAGGTTGATGAATCCTAGGACTGTTCTGTCCAGCTGCCCGCTGACTGCATGACGGAGCTCAAAAAGTCTCGTCTATTTTGAACAGTTAATCCTTTTGATTTAAGTTCTGATACAGTCTTGTTCTTTACAAATGCCGAGGCGGGTTAGGAGCTGGCTCTGGCATGTCTTCCTGTATCTTTGTTAATTTTCGTCGCTTACCCGTTTCCTTAAATGGTTGAGAAGGGCAGCGCCACGTCAAACCCATCCCGTCCCCAGGAACACCTCACCATCCGCAGCGGACAAGACCGTATATCCCACTTTTTTGGCTATCTAACCAGGGAATAGTCCCACCCAATCGCCTGTTAGTGTGTGAGCTAACCCAAAGTGACCCCTCTCCGCCACGCACTACTGTGGCGCCATGTGACGACTCAACTAGCTTGCCCCTGGCATTAGGACCCGTGTTTCGAGTCTCGGCAAGCTCCTATGACCCCGAAAGTGGCGACTGGGCATCTCGGCCAACAGATGCAGTGGGCGCCCACATCCGGTCATGAGGTGATGCGATGCCTCTAATACTTCTTATATGGTACATACATAACCTTGTCCCAAGACACACGTCCACGACCATATCAAAGTGCGACTTGCTGTTCAACTATCAATACTTTATTTGGGTTATTCCTGAGTTCTGTGTCCATTAGCGCGGGTGATTGGTTCAGTGCTAATCGAGGACCTTTGTTTCCTGAGTTTCCCCCGGCTTCTGTTAAAGTTGTGTTATTATTTTAACTTTTTTTTTTCTTTTTTCTTCTCTTAGTCAGTATTGCTATAATGATAGCCGATTGTCGATTGGTTTTACTTACTCCCACTTACTATCAGTGATGACCGTGGCGCGTACTCTGTGGAGGCCAGATAAACATAAAAATAAATAAAAATAAGTGCCCTAGTTTTGCCAAGGAACTTTGATTGCGAGACTTCGGCCGATCGATTACGTTTATATAGGTAATTCACAATATACATAGCAAAACTGCAACCTGCATTCATCAAACAGCAACGTTAAATGCAGCAGGTACAGTTCGTAATGGTGCAGTAGGCCTGTGGAGGCTGTCGTGAGAGCTGTAAGCATAAGCGAGACGAATTGGCATACGCAATCGCGTGTCGAAGTCAACCTTCCACTGAACCACACGGCTCGATCGGACGTATGCGATTCCTTGCTTATGCTTCACAGCTCACCACCAAGCCTCCACCCTACTGCACCATTACAAACTTTACCTGCTCAGAAGTTGCTTGTGAAATGCAGGTTCCCTTCACAAGTATATTTAAAAATAATCATAGACTTTTAATGTTATCTACCCAGTCTCCCACTAAAGTCTCGTGTAAGCTGGCGCGAATTCCCGTAAGCTGTAGTAGTTCAGGTGTGGATGTCATGCGAATAGACGAATCTCGAGGGAGATCAGCAGCTGATCATATAAATTTCATGTCAAAGCAGTTATCTGAATTTGAATATCGAATGATGCGAAGAGCACCGACGGATAGAGAAAAGTGAGTGCGTTAAACAATATTAGACCGGACCTAAGTATTTCATAACTGTTGTGACCTGCTGAGGATGAGCGGATGTCTACGCCAATTGTTGAGCCCATTTTCGACATGGTCCGTTGTTTGTGCAGAGATACATGTGCAGCTCGTTTTTACACAAAAGTGGGCCAATGTTTGGATTCCAGCACTTTCGGCACCACCGAGCTCATTTTTAAATTGCCTAAGTCACCAATACCGGCTAAAAATCATGTACCAAGGCGATTAATTTATATATCGTGACTTACACATTACGACACTCGTCTCTGTCGGGGCGCTGGCCTTCCAGTTATGGACACTACCGATTGCCTATTTGGCTGCAGGCCCTTAGCAGAGCGCAGATAATTGTAGTGTTATCCGTTAGCGCCAGCGGCAAGAGTGAATGTCATGTTCGTAATCAGCATGCTGAACTCCCTAAACAAGGTTTCTACGGATTTGGTAACTGGGCAATTAAAAAGGACTCGGTGCCGAAATTGGGATCCAACGCATAAAAGTGCAGCTCGCTTTTGCTGGCTTCTAGGAATGCCAGGGAAGGGCGAGAACAAGGTCTACTAGTTCATGACGAACTTGGCAATAGAAAGCATTTGTATTTTTTTCTGTGGGAGAAGGGAAGGGAGGGGAGAAAATAACTCATACGCATCGAAAAAAGAGTGTTGTAAGAATGCAGAAGTTTGACACCGCGGGAACTCGAACCATCAACCTATTTCCCGCTCTTTCTTTGGCATTTCACTGAGGTTCCCTGTGAATGAACCAAAAACGAACTCTTGTGGGCCTCACATGTATCAGTACAACACATTTTATACCAGTCTGCATGACCTTTTGACCTTGGTCATTTTGGTTTCAGCCATGTGTGAATGGAGGGAACGAGTTTCATTCACCTTTTGCAAAACATTTCACCAACCAGCAAAATGCGTTCCCAACTTTGAACGTACGTGGTGTAAATAGGGCGTCGTACGTTGGGTATGCCAGCGGGTGGAGATCGCATTTGGCTGCGAGGAGAACCGTTTTTTCTTCGAGAAAATGGTTTGAGAGTGAAAAATGTACTGGTTTCCTGGGAGAAAAACTGGGGAATTCCTTGGAAAAGAGGGTAAAAGTGATGGGAAGTTAGGGAGGTTAGGGAAGGGGTTCGTTGGAAAAGGAAATTACGGGGTAAGGCCATGTTCTGCGAAATTTTTCTCTAAGTGCGGGACGTGCCCTGGATGGGGCAGACCATCTTTCTCTAGAGAGTCTGTCTGGGGTACGTTCCTTAGATAAATAAGGAATGAAGGGACTTGAATTGCTTGTGACTTGCCAATTTCGTCGCAGCGCAATGTTCATCGACCATTTACTTCTATCGTGTATTTCTGACAGAAAGCTAATTTAATCCTGTTACTTTCAGATGGAGGGCTTTCTACCGTATCTGGTGTTTGAAGGAGGCTGTGCTGAAAGCCACAGGGACGGGATTAGTGGACGATCTAGCAGTTTTTGATTTCCATACGACTGAAGAGCCTTATGGCCCCGGTTAGTACTTGATTTTTATCCTTCATTCATAACCACTCTGAGGTTGGGGAGATTTACAGGGTGGCACAGAAGCCTTATTCCCACGCTTGCTATCTTCATTCAGTTCCCTTTTACAGTTTCAGGTTTGTGGCATTTTTTTGCATTTCTAGCTATATGTTACGCTTTTTTATCATCATTGATTAATTATGCGACCATTTTTCCGCTGTCAGGCGTTTCACACCTGGGGCAGTTTGCGAGCAGAGCTCCATCACTACCTAATAATTGGAAACTTGTATCTACTCTAACCAGAATATCGCCGGTCACTGAAAACCGAAAGCGTTGTAAAATTGAAGGAGAAACGCGATCAATTACGCTCAGCCATTTCACAAGTCTTATTTACTCAAAGAAAACTGCACACCCACCCAGGAGGATCTTGGTCCTCGCTATGTGGGAGGTGTATGGGTCCAATTGCAGAACTAGACTGGAGAGGGGTAGCGATCTTCGGGTGCCGTCCCCCTATTCCACCCGCGCTACAGGATGGCCAGCCACACACCCACGCATAGCCAAATCAGTAGCCGCTGATGATCAATCATAGACATGCCATGGCCAATTCTCAATCGAAGCGGATAGGAAAGGCCCTGTTTCGTGCCTCTTTAGTCATTTCTTCCCGTTTTTACTTTACTTTCGGATGAATGCGCTTTTGACTTCTGCTTTTTCCGGGGAACCAAATTATCATGCCCACTGCCTTCAGCAAAAGGAGAAATGCCAGAAATGACGCCATCGCTTTGACGTCGATAGCAAAGAGTACGGGGATTGTTCGCGGCAGCACCTAAAATGTGAAAGGGGGACTTGGACGTTGTAGTTACCAAATATACATACACAATGGCCATATCTTGACTGAAGAGGCTGAAAAGGCATGCGGAATGTGTGAAGAGCTGAGGTAAATTGCGCTAAGTAATTGTTGTGGTCATATGAAATTTTTTAACGGTTAAACGTAGCTACGACGATGAAACTCTCTTCTGATAGTATTGACTTGAAAAAATCCCAGGGAAGGAAATTTGCCACGGTGACACCCATGAAATCCCAAAAGCGAGCTTGTTGCCCCCGTTCCCCTACACTGATCCAATTCTGACTTTTACGACCCTCTTCCACGCCTGGTCCCTACCACTCACTACATAGTCACACGTTGGTGGGAGGAGAGCTCCAGATAAGGGACTCTCTTACGGTGGGGACTAGGCATGGAAGAGGGTCATGTCGTCGCCTAGCTCCCTGACAGGATACAGCATTGATGTGTGAAATAGCTGAGTAATTGGGCCCCACCCCCCCACCCCCCCCCCAAAAAAATTGTTTCTCATCCAGTGCATTCTCCTCTCCATCCTGCCTGCCATCTCTTCAACTTCCAACTCCTTATCAGTTTCCCAAAATTTCCCAGCGACCCACCTCCCAGCTATCCCTCTCCTGATGGGGTTGTCCCAGCGAGGTTGTACCCTGCTCCTCAATACCTGAAGAATTTGATCGATTCCCAGGAGTATAAGATCTTATGTCTGGAGTCTTCCGCCGTTGATCGATCCCCTTTTTGAGGAGTGGCACACATTCCACTTCTCTTCAAAATTGTAGTGAATTGGTGGATGCGATATAGCCTGTAATGACTAGTGGGGTCCAGCCGATGTAAAGGCCAGGGTTTCATCTTCCCGAATGAAGCTGGTACCAATTTACCGTCCCCGGCGGGTAGGAAGTGTGGCTCGCCCAGGCAGGAGCCGATTCAAGATTTGACCTGGACCGTGCGCGTGGTACGAGTGCCATTTGTCACTGAACCACCTCCGCCACGGGATGAAAAAGCAGCTGAGAAAATGCGTCATGCCTCTTGTGCTCAAAACTGCGCAACCAGAGAGTCTCTACGCAGGAAACAGATGAGGCAACACTATGAGAAGTCGCGGTAAAGTACGGTTTTCGTGGCTTTTGGCACGCAAAAACTTTTTCCTCTTGGCTACAGGTGGTGCTAATGCGATTTGAAGTTGTAAAAGCTGGTAACTGATTTTAATTGGTTGATCTTTCACTTCTAAACACACGGAAGTA